GTATTTTTAAATCCATGTTATGGTAAGTGTGCACATAAGTCTTTGTACACTTTCTAAAATCCACACTGTGGTAAGTTTGCACGCTAGTATTCTGCGTTCTTTTCTAAAACCCTGTATGGTAAGAGCTACGCGCAGTAGCCTTGTGCTCTTACTGAGTGGTTTAAAACCCCGATTCCGCCTTGGGCACCACTCCACCTATGTATCCTCTAAATACCTATGTTAACAGGGTGTTGCTACTAGGGGTCTGTTGAGACAGTTCCTTTAGCATATGCAGAGCGTGCGGTAGCCCCTGTGTGACAGGCCAAGACTTAGTATGATTCTAGGCTCTTGGTCGTATTCCCTTAAAGGAATCTATTCCTGATTCCAAGCCTTGAGCTCTACCCCGGGCCCAGGAGTTCTGGCCCTAACAGGTAAGTTTTTTGGGGTATGTAGCCTAGGCCTTTGGCCTTAGGGAATAATGTCACTGACAGCCATCTAACGTCCCAGGGGCAACTCCCATGGCAATATGGTAGAGTTGGTACTTAGTGCTTGCCATGGTTTGCCATGGCGTGGGTATACCTTTCCCCATAGCGACCCCTAGAGGATGCAGTTCGAAGTTCCCATGAAAGGGAACGTCTCAGGTTACTTATGTAACCATGGTTCACTGAGTAGTGAACGAGACACTGCGTCCTCTAGGTTTCTTGCCATGCTTCGGACGCAAGCTACAGACGAAGAAGTGGATGATGTGTTCTCCCGGTGCCTATTCATACTATAGTTGCACCGGTAGTGATGTCATGGCTGTCGCCGGCCAACGTGTTGTTGGTGTTTTTTCAATGTATGCTTCAGACACGGGTCATGACGAGGAGTTCCCCATAGCGACCCCTAGAGGACGTAGTGTCTTGTTCCCTACTCAGGGAACCATGGTTACATAAGTAACCTGAGACGTTATTTCCTTGCTTTGACAATTTTTTGTGCGGCATTATTTTGCTCATTGCGCCCTCCTGTGGCCTCGAGAAACAAGTCAAAAGTTTAACCTATTTAACCTGCATATAAAACATTAGAAATGAGATATTTGTTTAATTTTTATTTTAAGACTTATTGACAGATAAAATATGTAACAAATAAATACATGATTGTGATAGACTATACGATTTTTCTGATTTCTTCAAGCGATCATATTTACCAAGTTTACTATGGTAATGGCCATTATGGTAAAGCGTGCATATCTTTTGCATCGCATATAAATATTTCTGCCTAGTATGGTGATCATAAACAGATCTCAAACATGTTATTTCAAACACTCACTGATGTCTCAAAGTGAGTTTTGAGCTAAAATTATTTTTGAAAGTCTTTAATGCTGATGTTAGCTGGTAACTATATGAAATGATCCGCTGATGCTCTCCAGACTCAGTCTTTGTTCATAATCACTCCTCAAGCCCGAGCTCGGCTTCGGCTGGCCAAAAAACCCTGGCTGTTGGCCCCAAGGAAGCCCCGACGAGGCACAATCAAGCCCTGAAAGTGACAGTGGAAATGCAACTAGCCCTGGCACGCAGTAGCACGCCCGCTTTTGGCCCGACAGTAGAAAGGGGGCCTAAAACAGGGGTCTCCAAACTTGGTCCTGGAGGGCCGGTGTCCTGCAGAGTTTAGCTCCAACCCTAATTAAACACACCTGAACAATCTAATTAAGGTCTTACTAGACATGCTAGAAACTTCCAGGCAGGTGTGTTGAGGCAAGTTGAAACTAAACTCTGCAGAACACCGGCCCTTTGGAGGCCCCCACCGAGTTTGGAGACCCCTGGCCTAAAATATAATATAATATAACCCCAAATCCAAATCCAAGTCAACATCCAAGGCAGCATAATGTTGTTATATTGTTGAACACAAACCTATGATGCCTTAAAATGTTATCTATGAAGGCAGCTACTTTAACACATTTATTACATAATTAAAAGTTCTTAAAGGAGTCCTTTAAACTTACTGTATTCAACAGAAACAAACAAAGTTGTAAAATGACATGAGTGTTTGTAATTACTTACAGGGTCTCTCTGCTCGTCACTGTCTCGTATTGAATGTCGAGTTCTCAGCAGTATGTCATCACTACATTCAGTGTCCGATCCCGTGGGGGACTCGGGTAGATCCAGGAAGTCATCTCGCTTTGGACCACGGAATCTTATTTTGTCCAGTCGCTTTAGCATGTTCAACACAGCTGCTTTAGGCTTTACCTTAACATTATGTATGGCAGCCCTGCAGGGTCAACAGAGTACAAAAAAATATTAAGGAAAATCAAAATCAAGTAAACACTTCACAGAAAACTTTAAAAATGAGAACAAATAGTTAAAGAGAACACTGGTGCAAAATATTCCCAGTAGTCTCTAGGGCTGACCTTTTAAAGCGGAAGGGAATTCATTTGCTCGTCTGTTCTGAAGGCCAAAGCCAAAAGAACATCTCAAATTGCAACAGGTTGTAAATGGATTTCAGGTGCTTTTCCTGCCCCGAGCAAGACTCACTGACCAAAGTAATGATTTGATTTATTTAAATTATTCAGTTTATTTCAGAATGAGTAAATGAATCGGTGACTCAACAGGTAAATATTTCAATTATTCCATGGATCAGTTAATCAAAAGATCATTTAAAGGGGTCATATGATGCCATTTCAGTTTTTCCTTTCTCTTTGGAGTGTTACAAGCTCTTGGTGCATAAAGAAGATCTGTAAAGTTGCAAAGACTAAAGTCTATGTTTATGCGGCGCGATGCAACGCAACGTGTAAAAAGACAGTATAAGTCATTATAATCCATAATTATATCCCCACTGGATGCAACGAATGCCTCGTTTATAATGGGTTTTCATGTTTTTGAATCGTTGCTCCGGCCTGACAGAGCATCATTACAGTATGATAAGGGGCGTAACATTTCCGTCACACGCTTGAAGTATTCGGCCAATCATAATGCACTGGACAGCTGGCCAATCACAGCACACCTCGCTTTTCAGGCCGATGAACTTTGTAAAAATCGACGCGTTTCAGAAAGGCGGGGCATAGAGGAGAAACAATAATGTACAGTATGTGGAAAATAATGTGTTTTTTGAACCTTAAACCGCATAAACACATTGCATTACATCAAATACACAACATAATGTTCTTTTTAGCAACGTCTTATGACCCCTTTAATCAATGATTTAACAAATCATTGAATCAATGGATCAATTATTGAATTGATTTCAATGATTCAATTTATTTCACAATAAATCACTCAGTGACTCAATAGGTAAATTAATCATTGAATCCATAGATCCAATAATCAAAAGATTAATTAATGACCCAACAGATCAACGAAACAATATGTCAATGAATCGATGGACCAATTATTCAACTGGTTTCAATAAATCAGTTGATTTTACAATGCTAAATTAATCATTGACTCAGTAGATCAATGAATCAACAGAGCAATGGGTCTACAATACAGGAAATCAATCAAATCCACTAATGAGTGATTCGATCTATCGTGTCTTGACGGAACAATGAATAGATGGATCAGTTCAGCCCAATGCATCAGTGAACGAGTCAATGAATCAGTCAATGGATCAATAGATAAATAACCAAAGAATAACTTCCTTTCAGAATCACGCGACGATCCGTGTTCATCATCGCAACATCAGTAACTCACATAACCACTCTAGGCCGTTGTTGTGTGGATATATGTGTTCAATATGTTCTACAGAATGATACATTTTGTTCCAAAGATCAACGTGTCTGAATGACAGACTAACGGTCACGTTCCAGGAACGCATTTAAATGTGACATTAAACAAAGCGATGACACATTGGATTATGCCGTGTACATACTTAGCTATTTAAATCTGTGGGTCTTAATGCGACACTGACACAGATACGAACAGTTTCATTTTAAAGATCGTTTCTCAGAATAGAAATGATTTCATCTATGAATGATCACAGTCCTGTAGACGCATACTGCAAATCGCCTGTTGCCCTCTTGAATATTATTAAAGGACACATGTCAAAAGATCCGCTTACCCAGCTCGCAAATCGTAGCAAAGTTTCATGAACCCTGCTGATAGTCTGTGATAGATCCTTCAGTAACACCTGCTGGAAAACTGCTGTAAATATACACCAGGTCCCTGAGCAGCAGCGACGCTCTTCCCCTCTGCTGTCTAAAAGAGCTGTGCGATGTCTCAAGGGTCTTGATTATGTGTGAGTTAATGTCAGTCCCCCCCAGAGAACACGGATCTGCGTGTGTCTTGTTGATGCCACTGAACTCACACACACACACACACACACAGCAGACGGGCAGATCTCCTAGACGCGTCCGTTGATCTCTTAAAGGGGCCGCAGCACTGTCTACTAAACATTTTGGAATCAAAACACACATTGTTTTGTTTTTTTTTGTTTGTTTGTTTTGGAGGGGGGGTTGTAAATGATAAATAGCCATATTTGTTTGTTTGTTATTTTGATTTTTAATTCTTATCGCTTTGCTTATTATTATTTTTTATATATATTATATATAGTTTTACACCAATAAATAAATGTAACTTTAAAAAGTATTTATATTTGAGATGGAGACTCAAGTGTGTGTGGGGGGGTTAAATGTTATGTAACTCCTCTCTTTTTTCACTTTCACTTGTGGAATAAATGAATCATGGCTGATTGCAAAACAACAACAACAACAACAACAATACTGTTATTGTATTATTATATCACAGTTGTGCTTGTAATATTCATGTATTCTCTTAATTAATATGATCTCATAAAACTGCATTTACTATTATTATGTCTAATAAAACAGATACATTTGTGGAAGTGAAATTAGATATATATTTTAACCATTTAAAATAAAAGGTTACATGCTAAACTAAAAGTAAATTCATTCTGTAGCTAAAAAACAATTGGAGTTTAGGCCAAAACACCATTGTTCATTCTGTAAAGCCACACTAAATTAAATCAGCGGAAAAGTATGAAGCTCTTTCTGTCCTTTTATTTATTGTTCTGGCATTATTTGTATTTAATTATTATTCTTGCAATAATAGCTGTAGTCGATATTTTCTAAATTCAAAAATACATATAGGTATAAACAGCAAAATAAATAAATAAATAAAGTTATATCAGAACCTCATACTTACATGTTTCAAGCATGATTCTTTGTGAGCATGAGCAGCACTCTCAAACTCTTATCCTGGGTCAGGCTTGTGACCTTTGACTGCTACACTTAGTAAATAATCACCTTTTAAACATTCACATATTTTACTGATAAGATTACACTGTATGCAAAGCAAAGGTATGCAAAGGAAAGCAAAAAAAAGTTACCAACCCAACAACAAGAACACATTCAAGGACTTTATTATTAATGTCAAACACACCCGAATGAGTTGCTTTGCCGCTCGATGGCGCCTAAAATACTTCTTTGTTGATTCAGCTTTGTTGGCCTTTGTAAAATATGGGACAAATCGCGTACCGTATTGATTTGATACGGGACGCATCATTAAAATACGGGACGATTCCGTATTTTAAGGGACGGGTGGCAACTCTAGTCTTACCAGAGCCCAAAAGACCCAGATTCAGACCAAGACTTCAGTTGTTGAGACCATGTTTACATGTCTCAAAGACACCGCATGATTAAGTCTTTGGACTTTGGATCTTGGCAAGAAATTAGACATCAGCAACTAAAAGACCTAGAAATCTAGGAATTCTATTGAACTGAAACATAATAAGCCTTTTGACTGACCCTGAGACGATAATCACAAATATCAGCTAGGTAACTGATGTGCCAGTAGATGGCGCTAAAAGGAGGTGAAACAGCATAACAAATCAAGTGGCATGTTCATCATATGATTATTAAGTATTTCAGCTTAAGTCACTCCTATTTTTTACTGTCTCCCTTAACTCATAAGTTGTTTAGATTGACTGTGTCTTAAAAACTATTCTTTTGTGAGTACTATTCAGGAAATAACAGCTGCCGGAGCACAAGTCACCCTGAGTTCTCCCAAGTGTTGTTCAAATACATTTACATTGTAGGGGGAGAATGAGATAAGTGGTTGTCCTCCTTTTTTTTTAGATAAAACAAAGGTAAAACTAATATGCATAATAATATTACAGTGTCTGCTATCAACTGAAATAAAGCAACAGAAAAATGCAATTAGTAATGCACAGCTTACATCGGAGCCTCTGCAGAAAAACATGCTTTATTCAATAATTCACGGCTAATCCTCTGTCTATCCCTTTTTTTTTTCCACAAAAAAATATTTACAAAATTTACGTTTTACACAAGAAAACTTACTTTCTGTTAAAAAAAAATTTTTTTTTTTGACTTGCAAAAAGAAAAGAAAAATATTAAATAAATATTACATGTAAATATTACATTTCTCATTTAGTTAGACAGCAGTGTTGGGCAGTAACTAGTAACTTAGTTACTGTAATAATACAACTTTTTGCAGTAGCTAGTAGTGTAACTAATTACTACTAGTGTAACTTTTTATTCTCTGTATAAATAATATTGATAGTAACGTGTCTAAAGGAAAATTTCATTTTTATGCAGATGACACTGTACTGTATTGCTCAGCACCCACCGCAGACCAGGCTCTTTCCCAATTACAACTTGAGTTTAACACGCTCCAACAGAATCTTTATGATTTGAAACTTGTTTTAAATGCTGAAAAAACAAAAGTCATGCTTTTTTCCAATTTGAAATCCAAGTCAAATCTGCCTTCAATCCTCACTTCCCAGGGAACGAAGATTTAATGTGTCTCTAAATACAGATATCTTGGTATTTTAATAGATGAATCTCTTTCTTTTACCTTTCATATTCAGCAGCTAGCAAAAAGATTAAAACTTAAATTAGGGTTTTATTTTAGAATCAAATCCTGCCTTTCGTTCGAATCTAGAAAGAGGCTGGTTGCTGCCACTTTTATGTCTATACTTGACTATGGTGATGTTTTATACATGCATGCTTCGTCTCAAAGTTTACATGCACTGGACACTGTATACCATGGAGCTCTGAGGTTCATCACTGGTTTTAAAGTCCTCACTCACCATTGTGAACTGTATGAACGTGTTGGATGGCCTTCTCTATCAATGCGGAGACTTCAACATTGGTATATCTTCATATACAAAGCTATTTTAGGTCTACTTCCATCCTACCTTCTGACCTACATCAGTGTAAATAACACTGGGACTTACAATCTTCCTTCACAGGATTTTTTCCTTCTGTCTGTTCCAAAGGTTAGAACTGAGCTGGCAAAAAAGGCTTTTAGGTATGCTGCTCCCTCTTCATGGAACAAATTACAGAAATCTATGAAAATTAATACGCTGGTCTCATTGGTAGCTTTTAAGAGGATGTTAACTGACTTGGAGGCAGTCACATCTGGCTGTAGATGTTCTGACTGATGTGTCAATGATTGTGGTTTATCTTAAAGGATTCACTATTTCAGTTGTTTTATGTTACTATATTTTGTACCTATATGTATGTACAAACCCGATTCCAAAAAAGTTGGGACACTGTACAAATTGTGAATAAAAACAGAATGCAATGATGTGGAAGTTTCAAATTTCAATATTTTATTCAGAATACAACATAGACGACATATCAAATGTTTAAACTATCTGGTACATTATATTACTATAATTAAAAATCTTTTTGGAAAATTAAACAGTGACTTACAAGCTTATGTGATTTGATCAAATACATAATGAAATATAATCGTATATGGGCAACGGAGAAATTACAATTAGCTTCAAGCTACACATGACAATTAATGAGAATAATACAACACTTCTACATGAATGTCACTATCAATCACTAGAATTTTATGTGGAAGATACACAGTTACAACTTCTGTCGGGCGTGAAGAAAAAGTAATGTAACTAGTAGTGTAACTAATTACTGTTGCCAGAAAGTAATAAGTAAAGTAAACGTTTTGAAATGAGTAACTAGTAATGAGTAATATATTACATTCTTTGAGTAACTAGCCCAACACTGTTAGACAGACATATAAATCATATATTTAAGACAAGTTTGAACATTTGAATTTATTTAGCTGGACTTTTGACTTTAAAAAAGGTTTAAATATACATACTTTACATGACAGCAGACAAATACTTTTGAACTTCAGAAATATGTTCAGATTTTTGGGCAAGGAAGATAAACAGAGTAATGGGATGATAGATCTTTTCTATTTATCTGGAATGACACTTTGTGTGCCCCCCCTTCCCAAAACACTCTTCAAGGGTGCAAAAAAAGGCATTAGGACTTTTCTCAGTCAGTCTATGCATAGGTGGGGATATTTTTTCAGGAACTATTTCTGCAGGTTACATTGTAACATCATTAAGTGGAGACAAGTCTTTATGAGTGAGTCATTGAATCATTCACTTAACCAATTTGTTCAAAACGGATTCATTCATGAATGAAACTCACTGAAACATTCTTTCTATCTTTCTTTAAAGGGGTGGTTCAGTGGTTTTTTTCTAGGCTTGATTGTGTTTACGGGGTGCAGTCTAGCAGGTGTTAATGTTTCGTTTTTTTAAAAACGCATTATTTTTCACATAATTTACCTTTATTCCACACCGCTCTGTCCCTTCTCTGAGAAACGTGCTGATCAATTTCCTGCTTTTATGAAGCCCCTCCCTCAGAAATAGGCGATGGGCTCTGATTGGTTAGCTAGCCCAGTGTGTTGTGATTGGCTAAACCACCTCTAGTGCGCGTCTAAATGTCCCTCCCCTCTCCTCAGCGGCATGTGCTCCGGTTGTATTGTAAACAAAGGCGTCGTTAATATCGCTTATCAGTTTGAGCCCGATTGAGAAGCAGAGGATATTGAAGAGGATCATGCAGAACCTGTGCAAGCACGGCTTTTAATGGTAGGCCTATGTTTTTAGCTTGTAGTTGTCTCATACTTTTAGATACGCTGTTATTTGTAAATGCTACTGCTTATGTTAGCTTTTAATATACGGTTTTATCCTGATTAAAGCTTTAATACAGTACGGCAACTGCACACGCGTCCATGTTTAATGCTTCTCATAGCTATGTGAAAATAAGTGTATAATTGTAACAGTTCATTGCTGGAGCTGAGCTGAACGAGAGAGAGAGAGAGAGAGAGAGAGAGAGATGCAGAGCGTGTGCAGAGCAGGGGGACGCGAGGAACAGTTTTAAGAACCTCTGCTTTAGAACATTGATTTTGAAACTTGTGAAGCCATTAGAATCCTTAGAAGACAGAATCGCGATTCATATATGAATAGATTTTTAAATGCACCTCTAGTTTTCTCTTCCTCTTCTCTAAAGCAGCGCAGCATGGCCTCGCTGCCTTTTCCCGAGGGCGGGGTTTATCTGAGTTTGTGACGTCACGAACCCGGGAAGTAACTTGTTGTAGTCCCTACCAGCCATTTTTGTAGGCATTAAACTGCCAGAATTTTAAAAGATGATATCTCCGTTTGCATTGAACTTTCAGCTTCGTAACTTTGCAGATATTGTAAATGCTCAAACAGCAACATTACACACTAACTAACGTTAAAAAAGTGAAATCGCAATTAATAAAAAGACATGTAACGTACTGAAAAGATTATTATTTTTTGTCTTTAACATATTTTCTTTACAGTCTCAATGTGTCAGATTAAGAGGAAGAAAAATACATTTAACTGGACTTTTGACTTACTAAAATAGATTGAACAGTGACAACTTCTTGTCATTTACTATATAGATGGTGAGGGTAATAAAACTGCTATGCTATCATTGCATTTTCTTAGATCAGCAGAGATAATGAAACTATAACAAATGGACCTGGGAGGGGTTAATGCACTCTCACAGTTTATATGACAACGAACATTTTGTAGATAGATTTAACCCTTTCTGCTGTGAAAATACTGAATAAATACCCCAGTGAGGGGAGAGGCTACTCCCCAAAGGCCATTTCCCACCTATTTTGCCCTCATTTTCCCATCCACCCAGTCTCTGATGGCACTGTGTATGTGAGACTTCAGGAAGGGGCAAAGTTTATCAGCACCAAGCTGACTGACAACTCAAAGTAAGCTGTAACTCTATCCACCCAATTAGATTTCTTCCCAAACCTTGTCAGACCTGACAACAGAAGAATGCTCTTTCATGCATATTACTCAGGATTCGCAGCCCATTTCATACTTAAACCCAGCTTATTACTCTAATATTACATAGTACTAAGTGAAATTCATTGTTCAAGAAGAAGAAGAAGAAGAAAAAAGTATGATGGGATCTGATTGTGATTGGATGGTTAAAACATGAGCATTACATACCAGTGGATTGTGAAAGCCTAGTCCCTTCTTGAAAATCCATCGGCGTCTGCTTTTGAAGGTGGAGTTTTTGACAGTGATGTGGATAAGGCTTCAGCGTAATGGTAATGCTTCTTTTAAAACTTGCAATTTGCTAGTGTACAAAAGCTATTTCTGGTTCACAATTTTGATTGAGCGGTTTGTATCAATCTGCGTTTGCATTCCAATTGGAAGTTCTGTTTCTGCTCACTCAATTTGGGAAGGCTCTTTACTGTACCTCACATGAGAGCAGACAAATGCTTCTGAAATATATTGACTGATTGATTTTCCTTATTAGAGTCAATGTGAACAAGCTAAATATTACTTTCAGTTTCAAACAGGTCTGAACTTAAAATTTTTTTTTTTTTTTACTATTTTGTTCCAAATGGTAACACATTGTGCTACAAATTTTGTAACACAACATGAAAGAAATCCATTATAACATGTACATGAAAATGTAGAAACATTGGACACAACTATGGGGCACCATTGTGCAGCAGCAAGCATCGCAACAAAAAAGGAACCTCAAGGTTGATCTAGGAAAATGTGTGAAAATGTATAGGGCCCCATTCCTATATTTTGCCTGGGGCCCCCAATTCACTAAATCTGCCCCTGGTTAATCCAGCAGTATTTAACAGGAGTATGAAAAGGCCATATACATACCTCATTTGAAATATTTTTGAACTTAAGAAATATTTTTGGAAGAGGGATACATTGACAGGATGAGAGATGTGAAAAAGGGGGATAATAAAAGGGAAAACAATGTAATTTTCTATTTAACTGGAATGAAACTTTGTGTTGTGCCCCCTTCCCTATTTCTGCAGGTTACATTTTATCATTGGGTGGCAACAAATGACTGTCTTTATGAGTGAGTCATTCACTTAATCACTTTATACAAAACACTGATATATTCCATTCATGAATGAAACTCATGATCATTAATAATCTTTCTTTCTTTCTTTAAATAAAAGGACTTGTAATGTATTGCAAAATTAAACAGTAAAAGTCAGCTCTTTTTATTGTTGTTGTCTTTGGAGTATTTTTTTATAGTTTAATGTGTGTCCGATTAATATATTTTACCACTACACCCCCATCCCTTAGTTTCTCATTCTGGGCGTGAGTTCAGCTCAGTTGTTAATATTTCATGTGCCCTTTGAAGCAAGGCAGTTAAGAGCACTCAGGATAATCAAGCTCAGCTGAAGATGAATTCTTGCTCTGTGCCACCTGCGACAGTAAAAGCTTCACACTGGAATTTAGGATAAAGGGCAGAAAGCCTGTGTGAAGTCACACTGATGAAGTTTACATATGATCCTTTCTAAATAGTACACACAATTAGAGTTAGTAAGTTGAAAATAATGTGCTAAAGATACCCGGATGCTTTATTATTTCTGGTGGATTTTTGAAGTGTGTATCTGTGCATGCTTTTTTTTGGCTGATAATACCCAAAATCCCTTGTGCAACAGAAAACATTTAGTTTGTTGGGATTTTCTTTAGAATTCTTTAGTTTAAAAAGCTGTGATGCCTTCTGCACATCAGCTATAGCTATGCTAACATAAAGAGTATGTGATAGAGGTTTGTGGTATCAAGACACATTTAGATGTGATATAATGGCGTGTTATTAGATACTAAGCAATAATACATTGACTATCAACAACACAGGGCTCAAACTGACTGCTTTAATCACAATTAGGTTATTTGTGAAATATGCCTATATGCTAACGCCATAGCCTCAAGATATAAAGCAGTAGAGTATTCCAGTAGTAAAACATAATGTTTACTAAAAAAAATAAGAAAAAAGCTAAAACTTCATAGCTAAACTTTTTTTTTTATAAATATGTGTTAGTACATCCTATTATGAGAAAAGACAAGATATAAAAATACAAAGAGAGAGAGCTTTTATTTTTACAGCTTCAATTTTTGTCCAGTGTCTCAAAACATAAAAATAAATACAGCTATGTCATAAGAAATCCAGTGTCTTTTGTGAGGGGCCAAGATAGCCTCAAGATATAAAGCAGTAGAGTATTCCAGTAGTAAAACATAATGTTTACTAAAAAAAATAAGAAAAAAGCTAAAACTTCATAGCTAAACTTTTTTTTTATAAATATGTGTTAGTACATCCTATTATGAGAAAAGACAAGATATAAAAATACAAAGAGAGAGAGCTTTTATTTTTACAGCTTCAATTTTTGTCCAGTGTCTCAAAACATAAAAATAAATACAGCTATGTCATAAGAAATCCAGTGTCTTTTGTGATAAGAAATTATTTCGAACACCTGCAAGTCTTTTTCACTGCTGCTTCTTTGGAATATGAACCGTGAACTGTCACTTAATTACTAAATAAAACACATTCATTTTCATTTCCTTGAGTCTATGGGGTTTCTCTTCACAGTTCGAATGTTATTAAACATCGCCACTGAATATTGTTAAAGTCGAACAGTATTTTTAATAGACTTTTAGTCTTGTGTTTCGGGACTACAGCACCATAGAAGCCCAAATTATTTACTAAGTACAAAACATTTTTGATTTAACCACATTGGATAAAAATAATCTTGCATCAAATGTTATTAAAACGCTTTTCAATATACAAATGGCCTTAAAATATTACAATTTCAAAACAACAACAAAAAATATACATCTACACAGTAATTACACGAGGAAGGTATTAGTTAAGAGACGGATCTCCTCTATGAAGACGGGCCGAGCCGGGCACTTAGTGAAAATTTCAGCATTCCGTGATTTATGCTTCGTAACCAGAAAATGTCTCTACACAGTTCCAGCCTTGTGTGACCGTGCACAGTTTGCACAGTTTTAAGAAGCACTATTGGTAAAATGTACAAAATTACACAAAGTCTTATGTGTCTCTTCAAGTCCACCTGTCACTCGGTCAGAGCGTGCCATTCGGCATGCTGGGAGGGTTGTAGTCCCACATCTAGTGGTTTGGCACAGTTTCCATAAATCCTCGCTGACCACGTCTTGCATATTTACATACATTCCCTTTTCTTTCCTTATCATTCGTTTAACAGGCAGATGTCTGCAGTAATACTATTCTCCAATGGAGCCTGGACCCCAGGGACACACTGGAGAGCAAGGTGCGCCTATAGGGAGGGTCTTTGGGTAATTCACCTTCCTCCCACTGTCAAGGCTCCTCACGAGGGCAGAAGTTCCTCAGGTTTCCTGCTGGGTCAGATTGATGTTTCATTACTGCCGCTGTAGTGAGCAGAAAGGGAGAGAAAAGGAAGGAGGATACATGCGGGTTAGGAGGGTGTTCGGGAAGGAGTACAGGCCAAGTACAGCAGCCGCATGCCACATGAACAACAGGTGTAAAGAAGACATTCTTTGTCTTCGGCACACATGCTCCAGCAGACACAAAGAGCTGAACAGAATCAGAGTGCTCAGGTTTCAAAAACATGCAAAAATAAATGCCAGTTCATTTTAAAATGTGTTATTTTATCTTCTTTTTAAATATATAATGTAGAGATGTCCGGTACCACTACTTTGGTAGCAAGTTGGGGAAAAAAGTAATAATACCCAGTTGCTGCGTTAAAAAATTATGATATTTACATTAGTAATTATTATTCTCCAGGAAGAGCAGTGAAATGTCATCATGAAATAAGCCTCTATATCTTTATACCAAGCATGATTTGTAATTTTTTTTTTTCAGTAGCACTTTACTACAGAGCCCCGCACATGGCATGCAGGAAAAAAATAGTAGGCTATTCGTATACTATTTCGTTCCGTCGATTTATAAATTGTGTGCATGATTTACTAATTTGTTCCCTCGATTTGCTAAGTCGTGCACACGATTTATAAATCG